AACATATGCAGGTATGCCATCAGGGCCAAGACTATGTGAGGGCTTAAGAGTTTTAAGACATTTCAAAACATCGAGAGTATTGAAGTCCTGGAAGTTATCAGCTACAAGATTGGTAACGTTAGAAGTGGTTATAGTAGAAGGAGAGCGTATAAAAGACAGATTAAGAGCATTAACATCACAAGAGGGAAAAACATTACATCGCTTACTATTGCCAGTAATTTCATTGAAAAGTTTCCACATGCTGTTAGGAGATTTGCATGATAAAAGTGTTTGGTTATAGATAGCATTAAGATTTTTGATTTCAGATTTGATTTGAGCATTAATCTTTTTAAGTCCTAACTTGTCTTTGCATTTATATAACATTTCTTTTTGCCTGCGAAGTTGTTTGAGATGGGGAGACGAGAAGCGGTCGAGGCGTTTGAACAGTGTTTGTTTGGGACAGCATATGTCGAGGCAGAACTTAAGATAATCCATTATATTGGTGATTGAGTCATCTAATGTACTTTCATAGAATAGATCCCAGTTGGTATCTTTTAACATGCATCTTAGATTGAGTAAGTTGTCAGATGTGTAGCTTCTTTGTTGTGCTTTCGTAGACAGGTGTGAGAAGATTTTAATATGTGTTTTGCTGTATATTTTTGGCAAAACGCGGACAATGCAGTGATCGGAGTTATGTATCGGTGAACGTCTACGTGTTTCATATACTCCTTCGTCATTAGTAAAAACTAAGTCGAGTGTTTTGTCAAGTCGAGTGGGAAATTTGACTATGTTTGTGTGACCAAGAGCTTCAAGAAAGGAGCAATCTGATGTGTTGAAGTCTCCAGTAATAACGGATAGAGAGTTGTCGAAGTTGGCAGCAGCAAACATGGTGAATTCATCAGCAAAATTAGATAGATCAGATGGAGAGCAACTAGGAGAAATGTACATGTTTGTAATATAGAATTGTTTATATTTGGGGAGATGTTTGGGGCGACATTTGACAGTAATACAGTCAATGAAGTCATTTGAGAAGGTGAAGCAGACGTTATTTGAGACAGACCATTTGGAGTGAATAAAAGTTGCAACGCCACCACCATTTTTCTTATTACAACATTGACGGTCTTGACGAAATAAAATAAAGTCCTTTAGTGAGATAAGGTTGTCATCATACAGTTCATGCAACCACGTTTCTTGTAATGCGATTATGGCGGTGTTATGATACGTATCAGTTGACATCAGGGATTGTAGGTACATTATCTTATTTGGCAGAGAGCGACAGTTTGAGTTCATTATGACGGGGACCGTAGTTAAGTGTATTGGTGTACGTTTGAGAGCTCTCTGCCAACCACTACGATGTTTCCTTCTTGGTTTCTTTGGAATATGAAAGTCATTTGGTCGTAAATCATTAATAAAGTTACGAGAGTAAATGATTCTGTTAGAATTCATATTTAAGTGATAAATGTATGCTGGTAAACAGTAAACTGGATGCAAAATGTAGATATTTTGGTAGCAGGCCCAAAAATTCGAACACGCATTAGTGAAGCGTGAGACAAATAAAAGCTCTGAAACACTTGCCACAAGTAGCTCAGTGTATTCAGCGTCTCCATTACCCAGTGCCAACAGTTAATATCTCATTTAATCAATTTCTGCTAAGACATTTATTCAAATTGAATAAAAATTTATAATAACTTCAGCTATTTATGAGTAGATCAAAGTTATGAGTGGAAACAGACTATATTGAATAATCATCCCACAAATTGGTTTCCTTACAACCATAATAAGATATCAACGTTTCTATTTCAAGATTTTATTTGGTAAAAAATTACAAGAAAGGGAGAAATAGGTGATAAAAACTCCGGAAAATTAAAAAGTGTTTTCACTCATAGTTCACTCCTTCAGTCTGTTTAAAAATGCCTTTGGATTTGTGGGGTACATCAAGTGGTCATTGGAGAGTAACTGTTGCTCTGTCCCTAGACCTCAGTATTTAGGCTGACTGAAATATATCAGCAGAGTTTTTGATGTGTTTACAAAGTTAGGTGACTCTCAACAGCTCAGCATGCTCTGAACTGATGTAAGATGATTGGAAGTAACTGAAAGGAACCTCTGAACCCTGGTTACATCGTCATCAGTACTCGTCAAAAAGTCCTCCCTTCAACCTTGAAGGAAGTCATATTCTCTAGGAAATTCAAACTGGCGTCACTCAGTGTTAAAGTTAAAAATGTTACCAAGTCTTCAATATAATCATCTAGGCAGGAGACCCAGAACCACTGAGGATTAGACACATGAATTTGGTTACTCTTCAGTGACCAGTTACTGTAAATATGCCTCGCAGTAGCGTCTCTTCAGCAGAATCTGTCTTAAAATCCCAAGGGGGACATCATTTCCTCTAAAACCGTGAATAAGATTTACTGTCAGTTTCCAGTGCACACAAAACCAATATTTACAAGTTTCTACTGGTCGCTTCCAACCACCTAGTAATAAAATTTGAGGGATGTATTGCTCTCCTTTTTTCCTCTTATGCACTTTCAATCTTTGGGTTGTTTAACTATACTGATTAAGAAACACAACAAGTTAAATTAGGATGAATTAGCTCTACTTTTCATTCACTAAGCTGTACAATAATAATTATATATAGTTATTTTTTGTGTTCTTGTGTACATTCAGTCGGTTAAGCAGAATTAAAAATAAAAATAAAAAATTAGACTGGAATATTGCTTACATCAACAAAATATTTCAGTACAATAATGATTGTTTAAATTGTTACTGAAAGAATGAAGATTAATAAGTTTAAACTAAAATTTGCGCAATAGGGGAATAAGTTTTTAGAAAAACTGCTGATCACACGCCTCGATAAAGTTATTGATATGACTATAGAGGAAAACAATTTGGACTGACGAAATGTCGGCAGATATCAACAAGTTCGCTGCGTATCTGGAAAACGGGAGGATGAAACTGAGATAACTGAAGTGAAACAGTAACATCGAGACTGTTAAAGAATGGTATATATATATATATATATATATATATATATATCACTGAGGGTGTCTACGAAATTATTCCACCAACCTGTTCAATAAACACAAAGATGGACTGACAATATACCCAATTTTGTATATGCTAGATGTTTTTATCATTCAATTGTGAAATGACCGAAAAACCTCTTACATTCTGTTAAAGAGCGAATTTTAAGCCACTCTCTTCATGACTCATTTGAATTCAGCAACTAAAAATCCTCATTGAGTTATATAAGAAAGAATAGAAAAGGCGTTCAGGATTAGTAAGTCTCACTGAAGAAGGGAAAGTAAGTGACAAATGCATGATACTTGATGTCTAGTCACTCTTCAGAAATGTCTGGATTACAGAGACTATTCTCTTCCTATGCAAATATTTTGAAGACAACAACCTTAATATCAGAATACTGACTTTGAGACTAAAAGAACTACTACCTCTTTGCATTTTCAACATCCAATTCATGTTCAGTGGTTTATTCTATAGATATAAAAACGGTGCATCATTAGAATCAGGATTATGTTCAATACTTGAAGACATTTTCATAATATGTTTGGGAAATAGTCCATTGACATTAAGTGAAGAAAGCGTTTTTCTATAATAAATGTGACCTACACGTAATGTCCTCTAGATTAGCTTAAAAATGGGCACCCAGTCATCATATTTACTATTGAGGCAGTAAATGGACAAACAAGCTCCTTTCTGCATGTTTGACTAACAAAGGAGCCCGATGAAACCCTGAAGAGATAGGTACACACAGAAGGTCTACGTAGAGAGGCCAGCTGACAAAATTTTAAAATTGGATGCCAGTAAATAGCAAAGGAAACCTGAACATATCTGTAAATACGCTGATCAGAAGAATCTGCAGTCCCTCATGCTTTATACAGAAACATGTAAGTCTCAAATCCAACACAGAAAATTGTGTCTCCATACAAAGATGTTACACATGAACACAGCGAACTTCTAGATAATAATCTACGGAAGAGAATATCACACTGTAGAAAAATAAAACTCTTACGTCTTTATTCGGAATGCTATTCTCCTGTCACCCAAATGTTCTTTGATAATTAAAAAGTCAAACTGTCGCGTATGCCTACTTCTATGTGCATCTGCATATACAATTGCTTCTATGGAGCCAGATAATTAGATCTTTCATTGAGTCTTTTACCTAAGAGAGTTAAGGAACAATACCTCAGGTGGTTACAAAGTGGTGTTCACGTATTCTTTGCACTGCTGGGGCTTTAGGAATTTATGTATAAAACCCTGATTTACGAATACAGAAGAAAATTCTTCACCTAGTCCTTCTAATTTGCACATAGTTCCAAGTTCAACTTTCATCAGTATGCTTTTTTACTACTACCATTTTTGACCTACTTTACTATGACTATTATTAACATCATATCCTTAACTAACCTTTTATTCACTGTCTAATTGGTACACAATACACCATGATAAATGTTTCTGTTCTCCTTCCATTAACATTCTCTTTTTCCAAACACTTTTGCACGCTATGCAACTTTCATTGTTTTGAAATATTTTGATAATATAAACAATATTCCAAATTAGTTTTCATTATTTTTCTGTTATGCTTGACTAAGTAAATGTACACACAGGTAGAGAAAATAATTATACCTAACTGCAACTGTACAGCTAAGTTATTGAACTCGGAGAAACGGTCTCGTCAATGAACTGTTTGCATTTATTTCCATTTCTAGGAGGGAATTTTACGCTTTCTAACTCTGTCACACAAGGATGTAAAACAAACCTCTCTCTGTATTCTTTTCATAACTTACATTTTCCGCTAAAAATGTTTACCGAACTATTCAATTCAACAAAAAACATACCTAGTGGGAGAATTTTTTTTGTGAACTTGAGTAAAGTGAGTAAAAATGTCGATAGCGTTTCGCTCAAAAAGTAGGTAAAGTTGGGAAAACGTAGGGTATTTCTGGTGTGGTGAGAGCAGGCTGCTAGCCGATTGGTTGACACTAAGCTACGTTAATATGGGCCGTGAGAAAATATGAACAAGGCTGAGTCAACAACCAATCACAGCAAAGTTAACGTGGCAAAATATGATTCGCAGATAGAGAACTCTATTTGTCAAGGAATCCCGAAACAACCAATCAGAAGCCTGCGTTTGTCTGCCTAACTTCTGATAAACAACCGATCAGATGACTGCGCTTGTCTATAATAATGTATGTGAAATATGTATAAATACGTGTTGATTTTCATAATAAAACGATCTGTTGCCAGCCCTTGTCTCCTGTTGTTACATTTGGTGTCGCTGCCTACCGACAAATGGAAAGCCTATGCCGCGCTGTTTTTAATGGAGACATATGGATCTTCGGGCAGGACTTCAAGGCTTCTGCGCAGTTGAGTGGCGTTCAAGATCTGTCAGCGATGGAGCTGCTACTTGGGACGCTGCTGGGAGGTCGGGTGAAAGCAGCATATGAAAGTGTAAGCCGAAGTATGGACGAATGTTCGACAGGGTCAGGCAAACAGTTTCCAAAGTGGGAAGGACCATATATGGTCACTTCGAGATGGGGTTACGCAGACACAGTCGCAATGGCGAACAATAAGAGGCGCGTGAACGTCAGCGAGCTCCAGAAATGGATACAGCGAGACAAGCCAACGATGACGCCTGCACCAAGTAGATCAAGCGGACTTCAGTCACACGTATTTGACGGGGGGACGAGTGTGGTGAGAGCAGGCTGCTAGCCGATTGGTTGACACTAAGCTACGTTAATATGGGCCGTGAGAAAATATGAACAAGGCTGAGTCAACAACCAATCACAGCAAAGTTAACGTGGCAAAATATGATTCGCAGATAGAGAACTCTATTTGTCAAGGAATCCCGAAACAACCAATCAGAAGCCTGCGTTTGTCTGCCTAACTTCTGATAAACAACCGATCAGATGACTGCGCTTGTCTATAATAATGTATGTGAAATATGTATAAATACGTGTTGATTTTCATAATAAAACGATCTGTTGCCAGCCCTTGTCTCCTGTTGTTACACTGGAAACGACACGAGTGACATGCATACCCCTATGTTTACTTTTACTTGCATAGAGAAAAGATAAATTGGTTGGCTGATTTTCTGAAGGCTGTCACCAGCCTGGGACATTTCATCTTCCCGATTTCAGAGAAAATTAAATTTAGTTTTCATATTTTCTTCGGTGCTTTGGAGTTTCCATAGCGGTTGGACTGATTTCTCGTGGTAGGATCACTAGCCACACGTCTTTTTCCGAAATTAGTACTGGCTAGTATACTAGTGAATTAGCCAAACAGGCGAAGTTGGGAAAACAAGGGTAAGAGTGGGGAATTAGTTTCTTAAGAAAGTGGAGAAAATGGGAAAAAGTGATATTCTATGTTGCATGTTACCCACTTTTTGACTACATCTCATCTGATCGAAATTGCCTGTTTTCCCAGAGTTGTTCTCATTTTACCTAACTGGGTTGCAAAATGAAACATGAAGCTTCTGGTGGTTTTCACACGCTGCAAGTTTGATTTTTTCCTCAGTAGAAGTTTCTTTAGCTAACCGTCATCATTTCCAAAAATTTCGTTTCTCCAGACTAGAAACGCACCAAAATTTTGACTTGACAGTAAGTTTTCCCACTCAGTGGTTCGGCTATAAGCGACTCTCTGGAAAGTTCATCTTCCAGATATTCATACTAAACAGCTGTTTGATCCGTCTGTACTGTCCAGTTGCGAATAAACATCTGTTTTTTTTAAGTTATACCGTGAAGTAACACTGGTCATGAAACGGCTGAGAACTACGGAGAACTGAGCGGTCGTTTCTTCCCAGTTTGGGACTCCTTATCAGTACACACCTGTGACTTAGCTTGAAAGCAGTCAAATCCCTGCAAACTGAAATTTTACAACAAACACCTGTGATAGTTTGTATTCAGGGGACATTTGAAATACAGTTACTTATTATTCAACAGTATTGTAATAATAATAATATAGTGCAGCATTCTACTAAACCATCTCTCTAAAAATAACCAGAATTAATGTTTTAGAATAACTAGCTTTAAGGGTAATATTACATTCTCATTTTAGTTATTTGCCCTTAATATCCCCAGTGAAATAACTCTTTTCTTAATTGTTTTGTCTTAAGTTAATCACAGGATTAATTGCTATCAGAAACTGAATGAAAATGGAACTGCTTCAATAACATACTTCCAAGCAAAATAGCATCTATTGGTTTGGGTCGAGCTAAATCACGAAGTGGTAGAAGTTAGAATTCATGAGACATTGTATCGGGTCCCAGTGGCTGAATGGTATACGAGTTTGCCTTGTTAACGGAAGGTCCTGGGTTCGAATCCCAGTGGGTGCGTACTGCCGATGATTCCCAAACTAGGATGAAACAGCTGTCCAGTACTCAAGTGCTGGTTTGCAATGGTTCTCTAACTGATATCAATCCGTGATCAACTCGTAAGTGCCATTTACGGACATAATGCTGCTGGGAGTGCAGCTATTTCTTACTTCCATAGTATTTAAATTCCAATGGAAAATATACAAACAAACTGAGGGAGTTGCCATGGAATCACCAATATCCCCGGTGGTAGCAGATATATTCATGGATAGGTGGGAAAAGATAGCGATTGAAACGTTCACCCCCACCCCAAAAGTATGGTGGAGGTATGTAGATGACACATTCACTGTACTCACAACACAAGATATAGATAGATTTTTCGAACACGTCAACTAGGAGGTAGAGGCAATTCAGTTCACTTATGAAGTGGAAAGTCAGGAAGGGGAGCTTCCAATGTTAGATTGCAATGTAAAAAGGAAAGAAGATGGGAAGTTAAACACTAGTGTTTACAGAAAACCCACACATTCAGACAGATACTTGGACTTCAGATCATCCCATCCTATGTCAGTGAAAATAGGATTGATGAATTGTTTAAGTGACAGAGCACAAAAACTAAGTCGTACTAAGGAAAATCTAAGACAAAAAATGATACACATAAAAGAAGCCTTGACACTTAATAATTATCCGGATAAATTAGTCAGGAAATATGTAAGGAAATCTAAAAATAAAATAAATAATGATAGTGGCGATAGTGATTATAATAATAATAATAATAAAAACACTAATAATGATAATAATAATAATTATAGTAATGTTAATGACGACACCAACAATAAGGAATCTAAATCATCAGTAGTAATTCCATACAAGAAAGGAACCTCTGTGGAGTCCTCAAAAATAAACTTATCCAAATTTTACTACTATGTAAATAATGAACATATTGTACACCACTTTGTTTTAACCATAAACTCTGTACTTTGAACTTTACCTCGGGTTTTGAATAAATATATAGTTCTGCCTTCGACTCTCCGTCTTCTCCACCATCTCAACTGCCGTCGATCAATTTTAATCACCTGCTTTCTATCTCAAATTTTTGCAGGAGCACCGTAGTTCTTCCTACGTACTTTGGTCGACCTCCGGCAACGTCAACATTGGAGAATTAGTACTGGAGCAGTCTTCCCGCAGCACCTGGAGTCTATAACGTTTATTGTGGACTTTGGATCTTTGTAAACCCAAGTAACCAAACTTTAATACATTCTTCCCGTAACTAAACTGATTTGGTACTTTATTTTCTATTTGAATTTGGGTAACTAAGCTAACCGAGTGAAAGGTCCACCACAATAATTGGTGAGCCCGTTTTGAACCTTTTTTTATGGTTAACCCGTTTTCGAACCTTTTTGTTTCGATAGTTAACTCGTTTTGAACATTTTTGTTGCTATTTTGGCCCTTAAAACTCGCATTGCTTTAATTTTTGTTACCACAAGTTTTGCTATTTTGTGTATCTCTATACTTAAATATTTTTTGACAATGGCTCCATATAAACGTGTCACTTTTCCCGAAGAACTTCATAAAGGCGAAGTGATACAGAACTCTCCTGTTACCGCCTTGCCGGATTCCACATCTATGAAGGACGCACCAATGTTTTGGTTACTTTCCCAGTTAACATCTCAAATGCAAGACTTACGACTGGAAGTGTCCGAGCTTCGAGCACAAAGGAACCAGTCACATACGGTATCCAAGCAACGGCGATCAAGATCTAGACGACGTTCTAGAACACCGTCCCAAAGCCGTAACATTTGTTGGTATCATAGGAGGTATGGGCATAATGCCCTGAAGTGTCTTCGACCGTGTATGTACAACAGTAGTAACTCATCTCAGGGAAACTCCCCAGCCAGACAGTAATGGCGACGGCTGTTAATGGCAATCACCCCAGTCGCCTTTTCTATGTGAGGGATTTGACTACCGGCACATTATTCCTGGTAGATACAGGCGCCGAGGTCAGTGTTATTCCCCCCTCACTATCCAGGCGATCAGCCAAAATACCTGGAAAACTTTCACTTCGTGCTGCCAACCAAACCAACATACAGACGTATGGCGAACAGTCAATGATTTTAAACCTAGGACTACGCCGACGTTTCACATGGATCTTCATAGTAGCTGACGTACGTCACGCTATACTAGGTGCAGACTTCCTAAGTCACTTCAATCTGTTGGTTGATATCAGCAAGAAAAAACTGGTTGACAATTGCACCCAACTCAAGATCCACGGTATTACATGTGACTACTCTGTTCATAGCATCTGTATAGAAAAGCCGGAGAGTGAAATGTTCTCTGCTTTATTGCAACGATTTCCTAAAATCCTTAAACCATCATACAACGTCGAAGATATATCTCATACAGTTACGCATAAGATCATCACAACAGGACAACCTGTGAAGGCACGTCCACGACGGTTACCACCCGATAAACTAGCAGCAGCTAAGTCGGAATTCGAACATATGATGCAGCTAGGTATCATACGACCATCTAACAGCCCATGGTCTTCACCTTTGCACATGGTACCTAAAACTAATCATGACTGGCGACCATGTGGAGATTATCGCGCTTTGAATAACGCTACGGTCCCAGATCGTTATCCTATACCTCATCTCCACGACTTCTCCTTGACCTTACATGGAAAGACCATTTTTACTAAAGTTGACTTGGTCAGGGCATATCATCAAATACCAGTCGCTCCAGAAGACATTGCAAAAACAGCAATTATTACGCCTTTTGGATTATTCGAATTCTTGAGAATGCCTTTCGGACTAAAGAATGCTGCTCAAACATTTCAGCGTTTTATGGACCAAGTTACCCAAGGTCTTGATTTCGTCTTTGTATATATCGACGATGTCTTAATTGCCAGCTCATCGATGGAAGAACATATGCAACACTTAAGCCTGTTATTTCAAAGGTTTGAACAATTTGGAGTTGTTATCAATCCAAAGAAATGTATTTTTGGTTCCCCTTCCATTGAATTCTTAGGACATCGAATAACTGCCGAAGGCATCAGACCTACCGAAGATAAGATAAAAACTATTAAGAACTTTCCCGAACCTGATTCCTTAAAGAAACTTAGACGTTTTCTCGGGATGTT